TCGGTTAAAATACGGAACTCTTACTCTGAGATTTTTTGAATTTAGGGCTCATTTTACAACGTTTCATGGGGTGCCTGGACACACCTGGCACCTCTCGTGTGCACTCCATTGCAAGTATGTTATAGCTGTAAATGGATGAATTCTGCAAAAATCTTTCTAATTACGAACATGTGTATTTATTTTATTGTCCACTTCGCTTCATAAAGCACATTCAACACTCTCAATTAAGTAAAGAGTAATAAAATCAATCTGATCTTCAGTATAAGATATTGTCTTGTTGCAGTTCAATAATATCAAATCGTTAACTAATGTATTTTGTATCTATTATTTAGATGAACTGAATTATTTTACAGTTCCTATATTCATTTTGTGGTTAAAATATGTATACTGAAAACATTTTAAAATGCCCAAGAGAGTGAAATTGATTTGAATCACCTATGTGAAAAAAATTATTATTCTGCAATAACAATCATGAGATCGTTTACCTCGGATAGGTGGTGATTGGTTGTCATAGCTAACAACGCTATTCTATTGAAAAAATATTGAAAAAATATATTTATTGCTTAATAAATATTAAATTATAAACAAATCGTGTAGCACCTACGCAAATTAAATTATTCATTTTACATATGAAAACGAAACAGTGGTGACATAAATACCTTATTTTTTGGTTAACACGTTTCCTACATATATGCCAAATCGTAGTATTAGGTACTATACGGTTATTCTGTAATGATAAATTCTTACTCAAATTAATGAAATTTAGTATTTATATTAAATAACTAAGCATTAAGTAGATGAAAAAAAATTAAATACTGGTAATTATTTTATTCGGTCACATGTAAAATAATTTGAATAAGGTACTGCAGATAATCTTTAAAAAAAAAAAAAATGTTATGTAATTATATAACATAACACCGAAAATTGAACAATACTGTGAAACGGTTAAAGTGAATTTTTTATTATTCCAAGAAATGTTTACCGTTATTATAAAATCAATGGCTTTGAGACGCTCTACTCGTAATTAAATAAATACAACACCAACAGAAAAGTATATTTTACGTTGATATAATATTTATTGTGAGATATACCTCATATAGAAATATTGATAAGAAATAAAAGTTTTCAATATCTACATTTAAAATTTTAATAGTAAAGTTACTAATGCCGTTATACGTAAAACATTAAAAATAATTAAACTGTTAAATTTTTCAAAAATAAATTGAACTATCAACTAGCGCGTGAATAATAATATTGGCAGTGGCGACGAACTTCTATAATTTTACTCTGACTAAATAAAAATACAATGGCCTCAAGAACCCTAGCAGCCACAAGCCTACATTTTTACTTAGCATAAAAAAAATAATTTGTGCTCTCAAATTACAAGTATTTAGAATGATTCATACTAGCCAGACACGTACCGAAAGACTCCATACCGTCAGAATAAGAAGCGTTGGGTTCGGTGCCACTGAATAATGGCAATATGTTCAATCGACATTTTTTAAGAAAAAACATTTTTATATCTCATAGCCTGTTTTTATTATGATAATATCAGTAGCTTATAATTTAACATAATATTATCTATTATCTATTTAAGCCTTATGTATCCAAAAAAGTTTCGAGAGTTTTTGACAAACGACATATTTGTCAGATCAAAAGTTAGGCACACCTTAATCGTTTATGTAATTTTGTTGGTGGAATACCAGAATACATATTATGATTTTTTTTATAATAAATGGATACCGTTTAAATAACAACCATAATTCAATATATTCATACTACAGTTCTATAGTCGTAATTTATAATGAAAATATACCCTTCTATGGGAATGAGCTTTCAACATTTTCAACTTATGCTCCACTTTGCGAGGCTTTAGAAATTTTAGAAAAGAAGGCCGGTTTATCACCCCCTTACGCTGACCCTGGCATAATAAGGCGCTTCATAATTTCGTCCTGAGTCGAATACAATTAAATGCGCAGGTAACATTTAAACCACAATTTTCTTACCAGAGGACTTAATACAAGGAACGCGACACGAAAAATGTTATATGAAGAAATCTATACTCACGTTTATATTTGATGTCATACATTTAAATAATTTAACGGGCCTCTTATATATATATATATATAATACTAAGTTTAGCAAATGTCTATAAAAACCATAGAAATAACCAGTTAAATAAGTCATAGCACGAACTAAAAGTATACGATACCTTCGATAAATCAATAGGATAAGGAGTTTTCAGTCAAGTATTTTTTGATTAAATTATTATTACATAACTTATTTACCAACGATCAACTTTCTGACCTTTTTTATGTATATTTAATATATTAAAGTATTATATTTTAGCTATAATGTTACTCATCAAAGCAATAAAAAAATATATCCCGGCTATATGTAAAAAAAAGTTTGCCGTCACTAAAAGAAAAAAAAAATTAACCATCTTTCATAACACCTTTATTATTTTTATTTTTAATACAGTAACCCAATGTATTACCTAACACAAACTGTGTTACTTAAAATGAATACTTTTTTTAACTATTCAGTACTTCGATAACAAAATTGTATTATATTGATCGAATAATATAATTTAAATTATAAATTTGACATACTAATTGAAGTTTGCTGCTTATCTCATGACGTTTTAGTAAAAGGTTATTAGCAGGGAGCGGATGTTTATGCATTTATCATATTTTTTAATAACATTTAAATCAATGAGGAGTAAGATATAAATTTGTTTCATCACCTTAAGAATTCAAATTTACCAATTTGATTTTGCATATTTTTGCATATTTGTTCGATTTTTATTTGATTGATCATACTTTTAAATTCATCATGTTTTTAGTGCATATTTGAGGTTTTTCGTGATATGCTAATACAGTAATATATTAACGGACTCGATACGCGTAATTAATAGTTCAAAATGTCCCGATGGCGGCGGCGATTATTTCGATTTTGAGCCTTATCGACTTATCCATATTGTCCCGGGACAGAAATAAATATAAAAAATCGTTATCGCCGGAATCGGTATCGAACAATTTCGTTAATTGAAGTTGTGTTCTAGTTCCGTCTTCGTCCAAAGTGTTTCCATATTGTAAAACGTTTTATACCTATTTACTTAAAAATGCCGAAAATTAATTCCAAATCGTCGAGATTTCGTAATTTAATAAATTATTCTATTCTAATAGTCGAAGAAGTTAAAGCTAAAATTTTTCAACTCCCAGGAAATATAGGAAAATCTATAAAAACCAAATTTCAAATATGCTCCTGTCTCATCTACCGATGTAGAACGCAGTTTTTCAAAACTCAAAATGTTGCTATCGGATAACAGAAGAAAATTTACTTTTGATAATTTAAAAAAAAAACATTGATTATCCAGTGCAATTCCCAATTACTAGGTATATTTTAAAATTATTTAATGCTTAGTTAGTACTTGGATTCTAATATCTACCCATCTTTATTATTTTCAGATTAACAAACAATTTACCAACAGTTCTTTTTAAAGTTTTAATTTTAAGAATAATTATTTTATACATATATATTTTAAATTTTTAATAAACAAAATAAGTTGGAAATTTTTTTGATGCATATTTTTAATAAATTTTAAGCATATTTTTATACTTTTTAGAGCATAATTGCATGCATATTTTGAAATTTTTTGGAGCATAAACATACGCTCCTTAGTTATTAGTCAGTAGAAACATTCAAGTTAGATTTTGGTTTTTATTTATTCAAGAAGAATACTTAAATTATATTCTGTAAACTGACAAAATATCCACATATAAGAATTATAATTTCTGTTGTTTCTACATTATTCCCGTGAGGATTAATAAAGTGCTATATAAAGTTGTTAATCCTTGCGGGACACTCTGTATACTATATGAACTTGTACTACATACAATTACAATATATATATATATTATATAACTTTATACTGTAAGCTTAATAAGTTATATGCTATTGAATTTGGATTAGAAATAAAACAATAATATTTTTAAATTTCCATTGAATTATGTTATTTGCAGATAACGCCGTTCGGTATAGTAATTAAAATATCTTTTATGAAACAACATCAAAGGTGGCTAACGAGTTTGATTACCATTTGACGATCATTTTGATAAAACATTTTCTATGTTACGCAATCAGAAAAAAAAGTATAATATCAAATCAAGTATTATATCGGTATCTATATTCATAACGTGCACTACCTGCGGACACATATAAAAGTATAAATAATATATATATATATATATATAAGTGTGGTAAGTACGGACTGGACGAGTAGCTTAACCGATGCAAACAATTTTCCGAAAAGCATGTGGTCAATGTTTTCTTTCTTCCTTTTATCTAGATGCATACACGTATTCGTGAGAAATGAATATTCTATATGGTCGATTATACAAAACTCATTTGTAAATCACGTTGCATTGTATAAGCGACGACTGACATGTGTTAAGAATATTTGAGATGTTATGTAATTAAATATTTTAATTTTTAAGACTCGTTCTTTATGTGCTTTTCTTGTTTTCTCAGCAAATTAGTACTACATCGAGTATTTTTTGAACTTAAAGCTTACTTAATTATAGAGGACTTTGGATATTTCAAAAATAAAATTACGTGATCAATCCTCATCAGATCAGCACTTACCTAATATCGTATAAGGACTTGAACTTTGAAGTGCGTATTTACGGAATGGCATACAACCAACAATTAGGATGATTATTATCAATAAAATCTATTATCATGCAAATTAACGAAAGAACTTTTGTATCGATTGACATTGAATAACACTAAAATGTATCGCGATTAACACGATCTAAAAACAACGGATAATTCGGTTTTAGGGTTTTGGAGGCGCGCAGTATTTTCGATAATTCATTTAAAAATTACACGAGATCATAATCGACCGGATGGTTCCATTGAAAACATTACTTCGCATAATTTTAAATAAATTATATTGAAAAAAAAAGAATAAAATCGATTTATGTGCCGCAGTAAAATATGAGCAACAGAAAATTAAAACACTATATGTATATATTTGACATTAACCACGTAGATGGGACTCTTGCGCGGTATAATAACATGTGAAGTACATACGAAAAATGGGTTTTCTGTAAAAAAATCTCAGAGACTCGGGGAACGAGCGAACAGAACGCAGAATACGAAAAGGTTACTTTATATCAGCAAGGGGAGGAGGATAGTTCTCAAGGAGAATGATGCATAGAAGGAGGGAAAGAAGGAGAGAAAAAAAATGCTATTCGACACTTTCGTTGATTACGTCGCGTTTCAACTATAGCGTATTGTACACGTAATGATATGCTTGCGTATAATTACTATTTCAATAGGAACCGTTGAGCGATTCGCGAACGTAGCGGTGACGGCGTCAACCAGCGCGGGCGAGTGGGGAAAAGCTTCAGGTCAGTGGCGCCAAACATGTACTCCAGGTATTATAATACGATATAATAAGGTATTAAATTGAACTGCATCGGAATGTTAAAAAAATATAAAAATAATCATTAAAAATTTTAATTAATTTTTTTTAAATATTTACTTGAAAAGTATTTTCTATATAAAACAGTACCTATATTTAATAATTAAATATGATGTAATATCTTTATTAAAGATGTTGAAAAAAATGTTCTGGTATTTGAATGTATGGTGAATTGTAAGGGGCGGGTGGGTAAATCTGATTATTTGAACTGGCAGTTTCTATTTCATTCGGCCACTTCTTCAGGTCACCAGATCTAATCAGTAATTCAGCTTCATCGTGACGTAAAACGGTTGGCGGACAATGAATGAAAAAATAAAAAATTTCCACGATGCAGGTGTACACCATATACATGTTAAATACGAAGCAAAACGATGTATAATAGCCACAGACCACGGTGACTGTGGACGGAATATGACGACAACGATGCATCGCATACGTTTATCGCTCGTCTTCGGACCGATCGAACGGAATTGGTATTGTTTATTTAGTTTTGTTTTGAATTTAAAAAAATTCACAACCCGTACGTGCATGATGTACAAAAGTGATACTATTTCAATACCGACCTAGTGTTAGTAATGACAAACATTTATAGAGGAACGAATGTTAACGCGTTGTTTTTGTCCGCGGTGTACACGGTCGGCGATGAGCCCTGTACGATGTTTTCGAAAACGAAAAGTCGTAGTAAACATTAAAAGAGTTTTACGTACATTACGCCACGGAAAGTTTTCTGTACCTGTCCAATACACTGCAAATCCTTTACGATTAAAACACCGTTCATTCGGAGGACGAAAATAAAAAATAATAAACGTTTAACGCTTGGAACTCGAATTGAAACGATTTATCGTTGATGGGAATGGAAATTTCTTGATCGCACTTCTGCGACACGTAATTACGTACACGCGCTTCTTCCCTTATCCGCATTCACGACTTAAACCGCGGGCAAAGCTACGACGCGAGGGGTAGGCGACCCGCGTATTTTCATAAGTCGACCGGTCGCGTCCAACGAGGGTTTACGATACACTTATCGGATTACGAATCGTTATCCGGAGGGTTCGTCCGGCGTGTAGGCATACGTGCGCTCGCGGCTCACCGGGTCTCACGCGGAGTCACGCGCTCCTAACCCGGCTGGTACTATACGCGTTACGCAACACGACGCAACGTATGGGTTTTCACCGGTCGTCCGCGCGACCACCGTATGCGTAAAAAACAAAAACAAAAATTAAAACGAAATCGTCACGCGGCCCACGGGGACAGGGGGCAGGGGCGACTCAGTGACACGCGTGGCCCTACGGGAACCCGACGACGTAGTTACATTAGGTGGTGGCGGCGCGTAGGGAAGACGGACGGACGGACAGGCGTCCATTACCTGTACAGGTGTGCGTGTGCCGGAGCCGCTGTCGCTGCCGTTGCCGTTGCCGCTGCTGCCGCGCCGCTGCCACCGCCTCCTCCGCCGCCGCCCGTCCACCGCCGCCGCCTCCGTGGTCGTCGTGCCGGTGTGAACGCGTGTCGGCTCTTTTCACGTCAGACCTCTGCAGCACAGACTGTCGGTCCGTCTGCGCCCGTCGCTGCCGTATGACATGTTTGGCGGGCGGCCGGGCCGGTGGTCGTGTGAGCGCGCACGGCTGTCGCGTCGTCGACGGGGTACGGGCGGTGATGCCAACGCGCGCACTGGTGTGACTGCGGCCTGGCCCAAGCGCTTGTGGGTGCCGCCAACGCCGCGCGGACGCGCTGTCCCGCCGCCAACACCGCTACCGCCGCCGCCGCCCGTCCACTCGTCCACCCGTCCACCCACGACCTTGCCGTAGCGGTGGCGGTTCAGCCCCCCGATCGATGGGGTTCCTCGGTCGTCGCACCAGAGTTCGCGCCGGTCGCACGTCACTTTTCATCGCTCCTTTGCCGCCCCTCACCGCCGTCGCACAACCCTGCCGAAACGCACCACCGTCCGCCGACCCACCAGTGCAGCCAACCGTGCGACACACTCGTCTCGTCCCGCTCATTACCGTCTCACTCGTACCGTACCGTTATTGTACGGTTAATGGTCACCGACGTTTTGTTTTATTTTTTTTTCTCATTTTTGGCAAACGTGTCGGCGTGTCGCCACGGCCGCCGCTGCCGAGATGAGGACAACCACCCCACAAACCCCGGGGCTGATCGTCGTCGTCGGGGCATTCTCTCGACGTGATAAATTACAGTAATAAGACCACGGACGATTTTTTTGCACTTATGTCCGCGGTCGTAAAATAAACACGTGTATCGTGATCACGAGATGCTGGTCTGCTGGACAATTAGAAATTGTAAAACCGATAAATCGTTCTCCTTGAACATCAATGTAAAACGTTTGATCAAATGAAATCATTTATTGCTAGAGAATGAAAACATACACAGAGTAGAACTGACAATTGGTTGAAACAATTATAGCTTTTTTCTACACTTCGGTGATATCTCTTATCGTACAATAAGAATACTTATCCAGGTTTACAATTTTTATAGTGACAAGAAAAATAATAAAATGATCCCGTTATGTAGAAATTAAAAAATAATAATAACTAAAGATAAAAAATACTATATAAACGATACACATGTTAATTACATTAGGCCTAGAAAGTCTAGAAAGAAATACATTAGATAAAGTGTTATTAGATCATTATAATATACTTAATAATAAAACAGTGGAAACAATAAGGGAATTAAATTAATGGTTTTATTCGATTAGGATTTGTGTATTCTTTCACACGTACATCGAAATTAATCATTTATATTTACATATAAACTTATTTTTTAACTAAAAAAATCAAATTTAATTTCGGTCATTGAAACTATTGTAATAATATAGCATGTTAAATGCATACACCTACTTTGAAAATCGATCCCTCACAAGAATTTACCGTATTCTTAATGCGATCCTTGGAAATTTATTAATCAGTCGCTCTTAGTGCACATTCGCGATTAAGCTCACATAATGTTAAATGTCATGTATAAAGTTGAGAAAATATGCTCTAAAAATAAATGAAAAAAATTCTTTAAAAATTATAAAAAATGCACAATAGAAATATGTTAGTCAAAGTGTTACTACTGGGTAATTCCTTTAATCAATTTATTCGTGTCATTATACTATTAAAGCAAACATGCCCATTGTAAAAATAAATTTACGGATTGTATGTATTCCGATAAAAAAATAAAGAAATACGTTAAAAAATGTATTTATTATAGCTTAAAAACAATATTATAAAAATTGTATTACCAAACATATTCAATTATATTTATTTAACATAATAATAATAAAATAGATACTTATGATTTACATTTATTGAACTTTATTAACCCTTTGTAGACCAACATTAAATGGTGATAGAAATTTGATTTTTTTTTTGCACCTTTATAAATTATTATTTTTTTGATGAATTTAGAAATTAAGAAATTTGAAATTGGAGGTTTTTTAATATTTTTTTAAGGAGTGGGACAAATAAGTCCCATTGGTCATTTAAGGACTATACTTAAAAGTCCCTATGGTCCGTTACGACACTACTATTTTCTTATTCCCTATGATAAATAAGTAATAATTAGTTAAAATTTAATTAATTAATTAATTAAAAATATAATGACCATTTAAATATGTATATAATTCATGTTTCAAATTAACAACAATATAAACTTAAAGAAAATAGTTATAGTATCAAAAACTAAATGGTCAATTTTTTTATATAGCAGACTAATATTAAGAACATTGAGTGGTTACTATGTTTAATATTATAAATGTTCAATTCATAATTTATCATATAATAAGACTTTTATTAAAAACGTATAAACATAATAGTAATGTACAAAAAAAATAAAAAAAATAATATCATAATTATAATATTAAAAATGAACACATTATTTTGAATGATATTCATTAAAACATGGTTTCTTTTCATTTAAACATAAAAAAATATTACAAGTAGAACATTTAGTATATGGTTTAGATTCTATATTATTTTTGCTGCACACTTCACATCTACCTCTCGTTTTACTAAATTGTAACCAGTGGGCCCCTAAGTTCCATAACCTCACATCTGAAGTTGTTGAAAACAACTGTTTGCCCCTTCTTGGTTGTAGACATGGTCTACCTATTGAAGTCCCTGGAGATATATCCGTTGTTCTTTTTAGGCCACATTTACCTTGTGTTATTAGTCCTTGGGCAACTGCTCTTCGAAACTGAAGAACAGTTAATTTTGATTCACTAAGCTTGTTATTAATAACAAATGAATTGACAAATATAATATCAATAACACCCCAAAACAATCTATGCCACCATTTTTTTGATTTATATCTTCGATCTCACGATCGTTTAATTTTGTAAATTTATTCATTTCACCAATTAAATAAATTAAAAAAATTAACGAGTAAATAATAATTAATAAATGAACAAACAACACTCAAGAGCGAAAAAAATAGCATGCGTATAAACAATATACTTGGCGCGCGAGTGCTTGACTAAGAATATTCGTCAAAACTATAAAAATGTCGCAACAGACCATAGGGACTTCAAAGTCCGTTGTGATTATTGTCAATAAACACATATTTATACACAATAATAATGATATTCAATGGTACGTTCTGTTTCTCGGGATTATAACGAAAAGAATAATAATAAAACCCATTGCTTATCTATACTGGTTCGCGCTGTGGCTATTTATATAAATATCGATATTTATTTTATGGGCTAAACTATATTTATTTTATTATATGATATATTTTACGCCATCTATTGATTTCACAGAAAATTTTCGGGAACATTATTGATTAAAAATGGAGTGACTTATAAGTCACTATGGTCAGATAGTACTTAATTTATTTTACCTATGTTTAAATGGATAAAATACACAGCGGACTCAAAAGTCCCGTTGGTCGGCAAAGGGTTAAGATTTGATTGTCGTTGGACTCTTGTAAATATAAAAATTTCTTTCGACTATTTCAATTTTGTTCTATATTTGATAAAATATGTACATGAGCCGATATATTCGTTTATTAATTAAATATTAGTTTATTAATTTAGTATATTACATTCTAAACATGCAAGTTTTGAGCGAAAAAACGCCGAAATGCGTGATCAAATACCTAAGGCTAAGAATAAATACTGAAAAATTCTCTAAAAACTAGAAAAATATCATAGAAACCATAGAAAATATGTCTTAAAAATGTATATAAATTTGTCATAAAAGGCAAAAAAAAAAAAAAAAATGCAAAATAAAAACTACATTAGATTGATCAGTATCACTTGAAACACATTTTCTGCTTACAGACCTACGTGATGGGACATTAGAAAAAAAAGATGCATTCACATCAGAATCCCAACCTTAGTCATATGTATTGAATTGTTGTGTCCGAGCCGATTTACGAACAAAGCTTCGTGCATAGACAACGTACATCGAACGGCTACTCGTTAGTAGATATTCGCAGGGGCAGAACTAAGGGGAGGAAGACGGGATATCTCCCTGGACGTAAAATTGTAGGGGATGTAATTTTCGTAGTAAATAATAATATATCTGGTTTGATATTTTTAACTTTGTTACTGATAATGTGTTTAAAACTCTACGAGTATGATTATATGCTAATTATAAGAAAAAAAATGTAAGGAAGGGTATTTTATTCTTGGTCTATGATAAAACGTAATTTTAACATTTTCCCCAGACGTAAAAATTACTAGTACCGCCATTGGGTATCCGGGCCGACTGAAATTTCACTGCTCGTCAATAAATATTAATGCCGAACGACCGCTAAGGGTTGTTGTTATTATTGCTGTCTACTGTTAGTGGCTTTACGACGTGAATTTCATATCCTTCGGTTCGGGGTGCCTACGGCTGCGATTACATGGACATTTCCTGCTGGACGCGACTTAAAATCGCGCTGCATCACGGTACGGTGGATAAAACTGCCGTTACAGGGCACTGCGGAGGACGTCGCCCGAGTCCTATAGGACTATAGTGATTGAAAAGATGTTCAGTGGTGGGCTGGAATAGTACGTATTATTCGTTAATTTCGATGATTTTTTCGTTCTTATTTTTTGTACGTTCACTCGAACGACGTTATGAAATATTATGAAATACGAGAATTTAAACTAACTTCAAGCATGGGTTTTCCAACATAAATAAAATTCTATATCCATGACCGATTTGTTAGTGACATTAATATTAGTAAAGTTATTTTTCTTCACTTTAAGTCGATAAACCTTCGGTGCCCATTTAAAATCTTAAGGCACTATAATATTTTAGTGATGTATATTATAACTGTGTTCTAAATGTTTGGAAGTGTTCATGTACCTACTTCAGTGTTACACAAATAATATTATATACATGTTTTAAGTTAAAGCTAACAACAAATATTACAGGTATCTTGAAACTGTTGAATAAGCGAATTTATTCATTATTATGGGCCAAAAACAGCGACGTTTATTAAAAGAACCCGCCGTTCTCCATCAAACTTTAGTAAGGATCTTATAACTCGTTATGTCTTTTATCCTTTCAGTGTTGTCAGGTTTTCCGTTGTACCTGGAAATTGACATGTATTATTATTCAGTACCATTCGTTTTGTTATGTGATCGGTTGTTTTTTTCTTTTGGTTATTTTATCATCATGCTAAAGATAAGCCTTTGTATAAAGCTTAAACAATATTTACGATATTAGTGTGAACGTTTCAAAGGAATGAAAAACCGAACAAATTATATAATATATATTATATAAATATATATAATATATAATCAGTAATTAAAATTACTACGGAGTTTGAGTACTAGTTATATCAAAAATATTGATACGTAAGCAATTTATTTAAAATACTCACCAAAAAAATCTGGGGGTTTTGAGTGCAATTTTTCAGTGTATAATAATTTACAGTCAAATCAAATGTATTTCGAATACAAAAACCTATAACGACGTTATTTAATTTATATAATGCTATTTATTTTAAGGTATGTCAATTTTATTTTTCAGTTGATAGGTTGTTTTTAATGTGATTTGTCGACTGTCGGAAAACTTAGAAAACGTAGAAAAAAGTATTCAGTTATGAGGTATCCAATTATTCCCATTTTTTATTTAATTTATACTATTTCTGTTACTCCTTTAATAAAATAAACAAGTAATTTCTGAATAATAATAAACATGTCTTACTAATGTAATAACTTTCGAGACGTAAATTCATCTACAAGACGACTTTGTCATCCAAGGTATTTTATTATATTGCCTTTTACCAAACTCGCCTATATGTAACGTGAAACCCTAATTTTCTAACTCTAAATATATATAATAGCATTTAAATTATGTTGTGAAATAAATTCGAAATATATTTTAAAAATTTAAAAGCCTTCGAGTTTTATAATATAAATGTATAGTTATAATGTAACAATTTTTATTAAATTTGCAATTAATTCAAGATTATAACTATTGAAGTATTCGAAACCAAGTTGATGAAATACTTAATATATTCATATATGATTACTAGATACACACTGTAGAGTCTAAAATATACATAGCTTGGTTTTATATAATAATACAATTTATCAAAAATAAATATCTCAGTCACAATAAATATCACAGTCGCGATTTGCACCTTGCCCGTTACACACGTTAGCGTACGCTCCTCTTAATTTTTGTGATCCCGTTATTATTTCGTGTTCGAATGCGACAAGTTTACTACGTAAAAATTCAAAATCACCAAGCTTATAATAACATATGTAATATAATAATACATATGTAACTTAAAAAAGTGCAAGTGTGCTCAACACGCGTTTTTTTCAAAATGTAAAAAAATTTTTGTGCGTTTATAACCAACTAATTGCCGTTTATACAACAAAATATTCGTCGTGCTATCGTTGCAACATGCATGACAACCTTTACCCTCAAAATAATATGTCGCGGCCTCCTAATATATCACCGAAACAGAAAAATAAAAATAATAATAATTCACTATCTACTCATTTAAAAATAACTAATGATCTTGTAGACGTTATCGAAAATATGGACGATGATTCGAATAATTGGAACGAAGTCAAACCATCAGAGGACGGTAAACGAAATCATTCTAGCTCTCCCGAACAAAACACTCTGCGAACACCGGTGAAGAAAAGTAAAAAGCCTATTGATTATAATTTATTTACTTATGATTTTTATTTGTGTAATTACTCTGATATCATTAAATGCTTATGTTCAACAAATTGGGTTGAAATATTTTTAAATCTTAATATAAATTAAGTTACAAATTTATTTTATTCTTTTATTTATGAAATTATTGATATATTTGTTCCAAAAAAAATAATAACTCGTCAAAAATATCCTATATATTTTAGTTTTGAACTAAAAAATTTAATATTTAAAAAGAGAATAGCTCATAAAATCTTTAAAAACTCTGGTGCCATTAACGATTATAATAAATTCTCAAATTTACGTGCTCAGTGTAAAGCTCTCTCTAAATTAAATTACCAAAATTATTTAAAAAATATCCAGAAAAATTTTAAACATCAATCATCCAAATTTTAGAAATTTATTAATGAAAAACGCAAAAAAACATTTCTACCCGACTGTATGTTTTTAAATAATTCTAAATTTAACTCTCCAAATTCTATTGTTGAGCTTTTGCTCAACATTTTGCTACTGTTTATAAACATTATGATAACTCAAAATATATTGATACATTTGATACATACATTGCAGTTTCTCCGAATAACTCATTGCTGGCACCTTTATTTTTATGTTAAATCACCTTAATCGAAGTTCTTAATGCTTTAAATAACCTTAGTTCAAAGTGTGGTCCTGGACCTGATTTAATTACTAGACAGTTTTATCAACAATGTAAATATGTCCTCTACTTTATATTTTTAATTTATCTTTATCTAGTGGTATTTTTCCTGATAGATGGAAAACAAGTATTATCCGTCCTATTCCTAAGACATCAAATGACTTATCAAATATTTCTAATTACAGGCCTATCTCTTTACTTTCAATTGCACCAAAAATATTCGAATCTATTGTGTCGGATATGATAATTCCTGAACTTAACAGAATTATTGTTGACGATCAACATGGTTTTAGACCGTCTAAATCAACTACTACTAATTTACTTACCCTTCAACATTCCATAATTGATGCTTTTTCAGCTGGTTTACGTATGGACGTTATTTATACTGATTTCGCTAAAGCTTTCGATAAAGTTAATCACATTATTTTTTTATATAAATTAAAATATATTGGCGTATGTGATCCTCTTCTTCGATGGATTGAGTCTTACATTTCACAGCGTACTCAAATTGTTGTTTATAAAGAAATCCAGTCAAAACCAATATTAGTTACTTCGGGTGTTCCTCGAGGTTCTCATCTAGCCCCAATTCTATTTCTAATATATATTAATGAAATTACGTTTCTAAATAGTTCTAAGCTTATGTTTGCTGATGATATTAAAATTTACCGTGTCGTTAATTGTCTTGATGATACTGCTTTATTACAATCTGATTTAAATATGCTTTTTAATTGGTGCAATAAACATTGTATTACACTTAATATTCAAAAATGTCAAGTAATGACTTTCTCCCGTTCTCGTTCCAATCATTTTTTCAACTATCATATCAATGGTACACCTCTACCCACAATAATTAACGTTATAAAGGATCTTGGCGTACTTTTTGAACCTAAATTAATATTTAATGCTCATATCCGTTATATATATGATAATAAAGCCTTAAAACTGCTTGGTTTCATATCCGGAAGTTGTGTCGATTTCAATAATAAAAATGCTTTTATTTCAATTTATTATTCATTGGTACGCTCAATTTTTGAATATTGTTCAATTATCTGATCACCATATAATATTGGATTAATAAATATTCTAGAAAAAGTTCAAAACAAGTTCTGACAGTTTTTAGCTTTCAAGTTGAATATATCCAGAACTCCTCATACATCTTACCATCCTTTAATTACTTATCTGAACCTGGAATCCCTTGAATAACGTAGAATCAAACTTGATTTATATTTTATTTTTAAGTTATTAAATGGTTATATTGATTGTCCTAACCTCTTATCTCGTCTATCATTCTATATTTCCCCAGCTCACACCCGATCAACTAACCTATTCTATTTAAAATCTCAAATTACAAATTATGCAACTAACACACCATTCTTGAGAATTATGAACTCTATAAATAATTATAATATTGATCCGTTTTTTTCTACTTCCTTCTATTCTTATAAAAATCATGTTTCAGCTGGACTAACAGTACCTACATGTAACTTAATATGTTTATTTAATATTAATTGTATTTTATTTTATAATTTTTTGCTGTACTAAATTTTATTTTATTCTGTATTTATTTAATAATTTTCTCAAACGCTATTTTAAAATTAATTCATGTAATTGAGTCCTAACCTGTATATTATTTCAACAAATAAATAAATAAATAAATAAAAAGTTTTTTTTTTCTGCAAATCGTTACGAAGTATTATCATACAACGATCATGAGACTATGCTCCCAACGATTGATACAACTAATACTAATATTAAAAAACCTGTGGCATCATTAAGAGCGCTTTCAGACGAGACATTTTGCGGCTATCCACTAGAATCAAGATTAAAGACACAAAAAGTGTCCTGTAATAAAGAATTATTTCACACGAGGAACTAGTCGTACACGTGTATCTGATTCAATTCAACACAAATATTTTTTTTAAATATTCATTGGTCATTACTATTTAATTAAAAGAAAACATAAAAAAAATAAACGTAAAAGACTCCATTGAGTGCATCCTATTGTTGGTGCAAAATTAGAAAAGAGTAATTTTAATATACTGTTTCACGATCTTCTTAAATACAAGTCAAAATGTTTTAACTTTTTTCGCATGTTGAGTAAATCTTATTTTCAATTATATAATAATTACATAACGCGTGATCCGTTTGAACGTACTAATTGAATTGCATGTATCACAAGTTGTCCGTACACAGACATAGTATCTGGACACTAGAGAGGTAGAGAAACTTCAATTCAGTGGCCGGACACGTATTCGTTATCTGTATCTTGTGTGAATGTGTCTATTTATATTAATGTATTTTTAGCCGCGCAATTCTTTTCAGATACTAGTAGTCGGCCACAAAGTGTCTCATGTGAAAAAGCTCTAAACGTTGAACCTAAGCTTGCTCTACCCCCACCAATATTTTTAAGACTTCTACACATTACGTTTACTGATCTGTGCACAAAACTCAATGAGATTATTGGTACCTATTGACAATTTCCAGTGCAAAGCTCTAGCAGACCACCCCAAAATTATGACAACCAATTCAGATTCATATAGAACTTTGGTCCGTTTCTTAAGAGAAGAAAAATCTGAATTTCATACCTACCAGCTCAAAGAAGACAAACCATTTCGAGTTGTCATTCGCAATCTTCACTCAACTACTCCACCGGAGTTAATCAAATCCAAGCTCAAACAACGTCTTTTTGAAGTCAGGCAGATCTCAGGCCGTCCAACACAAAGTAAATAAAAATCCACTATCTCTGTTCTTTGTGGACCTTGAACCAATCAGCCAATTCAAAGACATCTTCCAACTCACGTCCCTTATCCATACAAAAATTAAAGTGGAGGAACCTATTAAGGCTAAAACTATTAGACAATGCACTAACTGTCAAGTATATGGATACACCAAATTGTACTGTGGCTATCCAGCTCGCTGTGTTTGCTGCGATGGTCATCATTTATCAGCAGACTGTCCGAACACCCGTGATATCTCACCTAAAAGCGCTTTCTGCTCTGGCGATCACCCATCAAATTACAAAGGATGTTCCATCTATAAGGACCTACAAAGAAAAAAAAAAAAAATCAAAAATCAAGTAATCACTTATCTAATAATTTTAGCTTTAAAAATACTTATGTACAAGATGCCCACACAGTGAAAGCCTCCAAAACGCACTCTTAAGAATCGACGCCTACCTACGCGAAAGCTACTTCCAATTCTCATTCCAATCATACGGTACCTTCATCTACTCCAGACATAAACAAAATAATGTCAACCTTCATTGATGAGTTTAAAAAATTAATTAATCCTTTAACCACCCTACTAACCAAAGTAATTTTAAAACTTCTAGATTAAAAATATGTCTTCTCCTACAAAAAACCTACTTCTGATTCTCCAATTTAATAATAATGGCTTCAAAAATCACCAAAATGAATTATAGGTAGTACTACAGAAAAAACGTATGGATATTGCTCTAATGTCAGAAACGCAATTCACTAAATATTCCCATGTTCACATAACTGGGTATAATTTTCTAAAAATCAACCACCCATATAATACTGCGCATGGAGGTGCTGCAATTTATATCAAAGCCTCCCTGGTATACCAAAACCTTCCTAACTTCTGTCAACCAAATTTACAGTCTTGTGCCATATTAATGCACCTCAATAACGTACCGACCACAATATCTGCAATGTATTCTCCACAACGACATAATATGAACTTTCAAAATTACGTTAATTAATTTAGCACACTTAGCCATAACTTTATTATAGGCGGTGACTACAACGCTAAGCATCACAGCTGGGACTATCGCACAAACAACCATAGAGGTAATGTACTTCACAATTTCATAACTCAGAAAGGCTTCAAGGTTCTTGCTTCCCTTAGATCAAATTATTGGCCTACCTCACTTCGTAAAAACCCGATATACTCGATATTTTTGTTTTTAACACACCGAGCAACATTTACTTCAAGATTTCTTATCTACATGAATCTAACTCGGACCATTCAGCTTTCTAAGCGGACCTTTTAACTGTTAGTGCTGCTCCTCCAATTCGTTCTTGTCTACCAAAACTTTTTCACTCGACCACTGATAAGCAAAAATTCCATTACTTGGTTAATCAAAACATTAACCTTAAAATTAGTCTTAAAACCACCCAAGAAATTGATGATGCCGTTAATAATTTTGCGATCGTTATTCAAACTGCAGCATGGAATATTAGTACTACACACAGGCAGCATGTAAACCACTTCTCATCAATTCCTGAACATATTCGTATATTAATAGCTAATAGACGCAGAGCAAGGGCCCTATATCAACGATATCGCCTCCCTTCTCTCAAGCGTAACTTCAACAATCTGGCAAACTTTTTAAAAAAAATTATTTCTAGTCACAAAAATCAAGCACAAGCAACTACCTTGGAAATTTGTCATCGAAAGACGGTAGCCTTTGGTTAGCTACTAAAAAGTCCCTGTAACATTAAGCTCCGAATACTCCGCAAATAAACCCAACCGGTGGATTAGCATCTTCAGACGCTGACAATGCAGAACTGTTAAAAAATTACCTAGCAAAAACCTTCACGTCACATTCTGATATACAAACTCTCCAAAACACAGCTTTAGTTTATAGATTTCTCGATAGCCCACTTCCACCTACTCTTCCATCGAAATATTTTACTCCCAACGACGTTAAAAATGAAATTCAGAACTATAGCCTTAAGAAATCCCTTGGTTATGATCTAATCTCAGCGGAAGTAGCCAAATGCCTCCAAAAAAGAGCAATTGTCCTGCTAATGGTGTTGATAAATGCCTCTCTAAGATTAGCTTACTTTCCACAACTTTGAAAATTTTCAACAATAATTATATTTCCAAAACCTAAAAAACCACCTGATATTCCCTCTTCATATCGACCTATAGGTCTTTTACCCTTTTTTGAAAGGTTTATTTTTAAAAGAATTCTGCCATACATATCTTTAAGTAACATACTTTTGAATACTAGATTTAGCTTTCGTGTCTCCCATTCCACAACTCATCAACTGCATAGATTAGTCGATGTAATTCCGTTCTCTCTTGAAAAGTAAAAATACTGCTCGTGCATGTTCCTTGATGTTTCACAAGCCTTCGATAGGGTTTGGCATGAATATATAGCTGCTATATAAACTAAAAGCTTTTCTTCCTCCAACATATTTCTTACTCATTAAATCGTACCTTACGGATCTTCACTTTCAAGTTAAGTTTGGCTCTTCTTTTTCAAATATTGAAAAAATTAGTGCAGGAGTCCTTCAAGGTGGCATTCTTTCACCAATACTATATAATATATACGCAGCAGACCAATCTACCTCTCCAACAACATCTGTAGCTGAATTTGCGGATGATGAGGCAATCATATCGATACATGAAGATACATGAAGACACAATTGTTTCTTTAAATCTTCAAAACCACCTTGATCTAATGTCTTTCTGGTATGAAAAATGGCGAGTTCAAGTCAACCAATCAAAATCCAATCACACAACGTTCACTCTTCGTCTCCCTTCCTACCCAGAAGTCTCTCTTAGTAACATATTAATCACTTCATCCCATTCGGTTAAGTACTTAGGCCTAACCTTTGATCGTCGCCTTACCTGGGGACTTCATATCAGAACTAAAAAATTCGACCTAAACGAACGACTACGCTCAATTAAAACACTAATATCTAACAAACACACTAAGCTAAACATCAAACTTCTCATATATAAAAAATCATTAATCAAGTTCATGTAGACTTAAGGCCTACAACTATGGGACAATGCAAAAAAAATAAAATCCAAACCGTTCAAAATAAAATTTTAAGATTAATCACTAACGCCCCACCATATGTCTCCAACTACACCCTGCACACAGATTAAAAGATTCTATAACAGATTTCCATATTATCCTAATCCCCTTCCATGTAAAAAATATTATATCACATATTTTTATTGTGCACAAGGGTACAGATTGTATATTTCTTGTTAAAATAAAAAAAAATAAAAAAATATTTTGAGTCATTCGTTTTTTTTCTATTTTACCCATAATGCCACAATGGTAGTATTTTAAAATAATTTAAAATTTTATCATAGAGAAGCAGTATAGTACAGTGGTCCCACAGCTATTTATAATGCGCACAGCCATCAATTAAAACAGCATAGTCCAAAAAACATTTTGCAGAATTAATTCTGTAGTCTCTCTTCTCTGCTATCGTTCTAGTTGCTCTACATTACTGCTTCCTATCGGATCAAATCTACTAGGAGTGAAGTCTATACAAATGATAATTCTCTATTTAGTGAAGGGGTATGATGCTATACTGTACTTTATCCCTCCCAAGTGGAAAAGACATCGACAAATATCTACGACGGTCGTTTCTATAGAAAAAATGATCTTAATACTTTGGAATATATGTTTTTTTTTACATTTGACTCCACGGTTAAATATAAATATTTATAAAAATGTATACATTTTAATAAATTGGAAATATATATAATACAGTGAGTGATGATTTTGACGGTCTTGTAGGTTTTTTTTTATAGTTTTGAAAACTATTATGATCATTGTGGTCAATAGCTGTACACTGAATATTGTCAGATAAAGTGTGGGATCGGTATCAAACTTATTTATACCGATCTAAACGTAATTCATTCAAAGTGTTGAAGTATGATACACGATTGATTACATTTAATTATAATTTTTTCTACATTTCTTCGGAGTTAAATTAAATTTCGTACAGTGGAACCTCGATAAGTCGAAAACCTTGATAAGTTGAAAAAAATTCTGTTCTCTTGCGTAAACCTCGATAATTCGAACATATTGTGCTCCGGATATAGACGGATAATGACGGATGATGACGGATAGCTTTATAAACATTTGTTTAAACGTATCCAATGATTTTTTTTCTAATCGCATTTATTGTTTATTATCGTATATATTACCTAATCTCGGCATACAACAATATTTTTCATTTGTATCGGCATTGCCAGTTGCGATCGATCAATTACGCATGTGCGGTAATTTTATGTAATTGTGTTTATTATCGTATGTATTTGTTAACCTCACACAACAGTATTTTTCATTTGTATAGGTATTGCCAGTAGAACCGGCGTTAGGAGAGGACAAATGGGATATTTGTTCAAGGCCCCGCGCTTGTTAAAGGCCCCTGTGATTTTAAATTATCATCTTAATACCGCGAAACACATTGACATTTTATATCCTAAAGGCTAATGTCTAGGGCCCCGCAATACCTAGCGCCGGCATTGATTGCCAGTTACTACTTAAAAACTTTAATACATACATACATTTTAAAAATTCTTTAAGGCCATTTTTTTTTCTAAAATCTTGGTAACTCGAAAACCTTAGTAAGTCGAAAAAAATTGTATATCCCTTGAATTTCGACTTATCGAGGTTCCACTGTATTTTAAATAGGTTACCATCGTTAAAAAGCCGTTGAAAATTCTAATGAGAGGTTTTTCGGATGGTGTATGTTATATAATTCATCAAAATCTATAAATCAATATGTATAGCCACGCCAAGTAAGCGAGGATTTAATAATTCAAATTCCTTCTTTATTGTTTTTTTAACCATTATAATACATTGTAACTTATAAGTTGGTATTAAAATGTTAACAGTAAATTATTATCTTATAATCGTATTATAGTTCCATAACTAATGATAAAATTACTTTGTATTATAAATGCATTTTGCTATGAATTTATGATACATTCATTTGCATATTATTACAAGTATACAGTTGAATGAATATTAAAGGTGCAAAAGTTTATGTAAAATAATTATAATATATTAATTTTTTTAAATTCTGCACAAGAATTTGTTCTTACGTGATTTTATTTTTTGATATAGAACCTTATGTACGTACACAATGGTGTAATACAATTATAATAAAAATAATTTAAAATTTCCATTAATTATTTTTGTCTTTTCTGTTTTATTATGTGGAAAGTGAAAAATTATTTAATTTATATGGGTCTTTGACCAATTGTTAAATAAAAAATTATTATTTAAAAAAAGCATTTACTATGAACTTTTGAGTTATAATAAACCACATATTATACTGGTATGTCAATTCGACTAACATTGCATTTATTCTATTATTTTCAAGGGTTTTATAGGTTGTGTTGTCATTACTATGGGAATGCTGTTTAATAAAGGAAAAACATTATATTATAATTTCTTCAACAGTTATATAGGTAGTTTAGTTTTATGAGTGGCAAATAACATATTATTTTGATGATAGGTATATGTATCAACAATTATATAAAATACTAGCCGACTCGTCACGGTTTCACGCTCTCAGTTGTTTATTTTGCCTACGGGTGATGATATGTAGAATTTTTTAATCAAATATTATCGTTTAATGTAATCGGCTAGTAAATATAAAAAACAGTT